GCAAGGAGGTTCGGAGGGTGCGGTTTGGCAAGGGGCAGGTGTGGGGAGGAGGGGAGGAGGAGGAGGGAGAAGCAGAGGAAGGGAGAGAGGGAGAGGAGAACAGGCGAAATATGCCTTCTAGTTCTGGCTTGGCTGCTACTGATGGCGCTGCTGCTGCTGCTGCTGCTGCTGCTGCTGCTGCTGCTGCTGCTGCTGCTCCTGGTGCACCTAGCACCTCCCTGCCTTACAAAATCGGGAGATTCGCATCGGAAATGAACCCAGGGGCTGGTGGAGGAGAAGACGATGAAACGGACAGTTTCCTTCCTCTTCAACTCCCCTCTCCTCCTGTATCCTCCTCCACTGGCGCTCGCAACCTCACAGCCGCCACTGCTGTGAGAAAGCAGCTGGGAGAGGGGGTGGGAGGGGTTGGTGAGGAGGGGTTTGAGGGTGTGGGGGGAAAGGAGGAGGAGGGGGAGGAGGAAGAGGGGGAGACTTGGGATGAGTACGTGTTTCGCCGGACGAGAGAGTTTAACGAGGAGACGAGGCGCCGCCCGCTGGACGAGCAGCTGTGGCTGCGGTTTGTCTCTTTCCAGGATGAGGCGGCGACGGGCGGCGGAGGTGGGCGGCACCGGGCGGCGGTGCTGCGGCAGGTAGTGGAGAAGAAGGTGGCAGTGTTGGAGCGAGCGCTGCAGCACGTGGGAGACAGCGAGGCAGTGGTTCTCACTTATCTTCACACATGCAACGGACGGTGAGTCACTGCCCTGCTGTGCAGCACTGCACCTTGTTGTGATGTGAGCTTGCAGGCATGGCAGGTAGTGGAGAAGAAGGTGGCAGTGTTGGAGCGAGCACTGCAGCATGTGGGGGAAAGTGAGGCGGTGGTTCTCACTTATCTGCAACGGGCGGTGAGTCACTGCCCTGCCCTGCAGCATTGCACCTTGTCTTGTGGTAGCATGTTCTTGCAAGCCTGACATGAGTGACAGAGAAGAAGGTGCCCGTGTTAGAGCGAGCACTGCAGCACGTGGGAGACAGTGAGGCGGTGGTTTTAACCTACCTGCACACGTGGAGTGGCCGGTGAGTTTCATCCCCCCATCAGGTAGCATGGGTGATTCAGCAGGTGACAGAGAAGAAGGTGGCAGTGTTGGAGCGAGCGCTGCAGCACGTGGGGGAGAGTGAAGCGGTGGTTCTCATGTGTCTGCACACATGCATTGGGCAGTGAGTTTCATGTCGCCCTCAGGTAGCATGGTGGCATCACTGCTGTTTCATCCATGCGTGATTCAGCAGGTGACAGAAGAAGGTGGGAGAGCGAGCGCTGCAGCACGTGGGGGAGCGTGAAGCTGTGGTTCTCACCTATCTGCACACACACACAGTTCTCTTCCCTCTTCTCCCCCTCTCCCCCCACTTACTCCCATTTCCCAGAGATGACGCCGCCACACTAGACGCCAAGTGGCGAACCGCCATTGGCCGCAGCCCTGGCAGCGCAAATCTCTGGAGGGGATACATTCAATGGCAGAGGGGGCAGTTCACATCATTCACTGTGGGGAAGATCAGAGAGAGCTTTATTGCAGCTATACGAGCCCTGGTGGGACGCAGGAATCAAGTGTGGCGCGAGGTGAGTGCATGGGGTTGGACAAGAGGTGAGTGCACGGGGCTCAACAAGAGGCACTAGCAAATGGGCACCGTCACAGCACAGCACACAGGCGGCGGCAGTGAGAGCAGGCAGGTACATTAGGTGGCAGTGGGGGCAGTTTGCAACATTTACTGTGGGGAAGATGAGAAAGTGCTTCATTGCAGCCATCCGTGCCCTGGTGGGACGCAGGAACCAGGTGTGGCGCGAGGTGAGTGCACGGGGTGCATTAAAAGGGCACAGCCTGGTCTTGTAAAGAATGGCACAATGCGAGCTTGCTCTCTCCCCTCCCGGCCGGCCTTCCCCGCGGTCACAGCGAGTGATAAGACGTGCTCTTTCAAGTGCTGTACGAAACGGTTTCATTCTCCCCCACCTTGCCCCCTTTTCTTTGTTGAAGGCTACCCGCTTTTTCCATTCCCTTTTTTTCTCTTCCCATGCTTTCGCATACTTCTCATTCTTACTCTTTCTTCCCATTCTTACCCTTTCTTCCGATTCTTACCCTTTCTTCCCATTGGTGCAGCTCCAACAGAAGCCTAACGACCCAATCAAAACGCGCCAGCTGGCAGCGTCAGAAATCGCAGCAGTGGACATGCTGGTGGACTCGTGCCGCTTCGAGCACCAATCAGGGCACGCTGAGCTGGCAGTGGCGCTGCTGCAGGCCGAGACGGAGTACGCCGTCCGGCCGCCGCCCCTGCCCGTGTCCTTTTCTGAGGGTAGCAAGCTGCGGCTGTTTCAGGCGTTTTGGGAGGGTGGAGGGGAGAGAGTGGGGGAGGAAGGGGGGATAGGGTGGTCTGCTTGGTTGGCTAGAGAAGAGGGGTATGGGATGGGGGGAGAGGGAGGGGAAGGGGGAGGGGGGGATCGTGGGAATGGTGAGGGGAAGGAGGAAGAGGAGGAAGAGGAGGAGGAGGAGGAGAAAGGGGGTTGGAGTGGATGGCATGAGATTGTGAGGAAGGGAGAGGGCGGGGGAAAGAAGGTTGTGGGGGAGGGAGAGGAGGGAGAGAAACAAGGGGACAATGATTCAAATGGAGAGGAGGAGGAGGAAGATGAGGAGGATGAAGAAGAGGAAGAGGAGGAAGAGGAGGAGGAGGGTTTGCTAGAGGCAGAGCTAATGGAACGACTTAAAGCGGGGAATGACGGGACAGGTGGTGGCGCTGGTGGCGGTGCTGCTGACGTGGCTGGCGAGGATTGGGTGAAGGACCCGGGTGTGTGGCAGCGGTGGGCAGCTGAGGAGAGGAGGAGGGAGAGTAGGCAATGGCAACCAATGCGAGGTAAGGCAATGGCAACCAATTCGAGGTAAGGCATTAAGTCATTGTGCAGAAGCAACTATTCTAGCTGGAATGAGAATGTGAGAAGTTGTCTCTCATCCATGCTTCCCGTTCCCATGCACTCGTTCCCATGCACTTGTTCCCATGCACTCTTTCCCATGCACTCGTTCCCATGCACTCGTTCCCATGCACTCGTTCCGCCTACCAGCAACAGGGGAGGGCAAAAGGCGTGAAGAGCAAGCAGAGAAGGGCGAGAAAGAGGAAGAGGCAGAGGGTGAGGAGGAATCGCTGGAACGGGTGGTGGAGCATGAGGATGTGCGGAGCCGACTCCTTTCTCTTCACCCCTTGCTTGCTCGTGCTCGTGCATCACACAAGGGCAAAAGGCGTGAAGAGCAAGCACATGAGGAGGCGGAGCTGGAGCGAGTGGTGGAGTATGAGGATGTGACGAGTGGACTGGTTTGTAACCCGCCCCTCGCCTTCCCCTCGCCTTCCCTTTCCACGATTACCAGCAGGGAAAGGGAAAATGGACGAAGGGGAGGAGGAGGAGGTGGAGAGGGTGGTGGAGTATGAGGATGTGAGAAGCCGACTGTTCTCGCTGCACTCTCAAGCAGCCAAGCGACACCTACTGCTCGCTGCTGCTGCTTTCTTTGATGCGCCGCTGCCTGCTTGGTGAGTGGCTGTAGTGGTGTGGTGGGTGGTGGTGGGTGGTGGTGAGTGGTGGTGGTGGATGGTGGTGAGTGGTGGGTGGCCGTGGTGGTGGCTAAGTGCTGCTACCTGCTGTTTCTCTCTCCACTCACCTGCTGCTCGCTGCTGCTGCCTTGTTTGATGCGCCTCTGCCTGCCTGGTGAGTGCCTATAGACCGTACTGGTGGGTGGTGGTGGGGGGTAGGGAATGGTGGCGAGTGGTGGTTGTTGGGTGGTGAGTGGTGGGTGGTGGTGGCTGGGTGCCTGCTCCTTGTCTCCCCTATCAATTGCTGTGTGCTGTCTGTCGGAGTGAGAATGAAATGTGAGGGACTGAGTGTTGTCGTATGTATCTACCTGTGGGTATTTGTGGATAAGGATATAAGGAGAGAGTGCATCAAGGAGCGAGTGCATCAAGTAGAGAATAAGGAAATACGGATGGCAGCGCTTGTGTTTGATGCTTTGGTATTGTTTCATAAGCAGCACTCTTCCCGCAACAGTTTATTCTCTTCTCTTACAATTTTTTTTTGGAATGTTTTTATGAATGGATAACACTTGCTGCCTCTTGTCCTCCCAACCAACAGGCGCAGCAGCAACGACAGCAGCTTCCTGGAAGCTTCAGAGTCTTTGGTCAGCATTCCATGGGCCATCACAGCCCCCTTTCATATTCCAACCTCTCATTTTGCTCCTAAGCCTTGTGCTGCTGCCGGTGGTGGAGGGGGTGTCGATGCTACTGCTGCTGCCTCTGCTGCCTCGGCAGGAGCAGGAGGAACAGAAGCGGCAGCGGCAGCGGGAGCAGAAGTGGCAGTAGCAGAGGTAGGCGAGGAGGAGGAGGAGCAAGGGAACTTGGCTCGTGGTGCTGCTGTGTTGGATGCTCTTGCTGGTGGCCCTATGTGGTTCGATGCATGGGGGGATGAAGGACAAAGGAGGGGAAGGGGACGAGATGGGGATGGCGACGGGGAAGGGGAGGAGGAAGAGGATGGGGGAATGGAGAGGGTGCGGTTTCTGCGCAACTTCCTGGAACTTGCGTGTCAGTGGGTTCCGGATGATAAGCACCTGCAGGAGGCCCTGGTGGTGACGTCAGCTGCAGCCGTAGCCGCTACAGCTGCTACATTTCCTGGTGCACGCGCACTACCACCCCTCTTGCCTCTTGCTCCTCAGAGCGCAACGAAGTCTGTCAGTGGCACTGCTACAGCCGGCACTGCTACAGCCGGCACTGCTACATCTGGCAGTGCTACAGCCGGGGATGGCACAAGAGCAGGGAAGAAGAGAGGGGGCACAGCAGCTGCCATACAAGCCGTGGTGGAGCGAGCGAGGGGCAGAGAGGCTGGTGACACACACTCTGCTACACATGCTGCTGCACCACCTACTGCTTCTGCTGCTGCTTCTGCTGTAAATTGTCAGCCAGCAGTGTCGGAACCGCACCTGCTTCTCGGCCATCCTGATTGGCCGATGGCAACTTCCTGCTTCAACCAATCACCAGCAGCAGCAGCAGGAGCAGCATCAGGAGCAGCAGCAGACGAGCAGTCAGCAGCAGCTAAGGCGGTGAGAGCAGCCAAGACAGAGGTGAAGAGGCTGTTAAAGACGCGACGGCAGGACCTGGGTCTGTGGGCCGCCTATGCCCGGCTGGAGGCAGAGTGTGGGAACCTGGATGCTTCCAGGAAGGTTCTGGACACGGCACTGGCGTCCGTTGCTGCTCTCCCCAAGGTATGTTCTCTCTCCCGAAGCAGCACCAACTCATATGGTGCCTGCAGCAAAGGGACGGGTGAAGAGGCGGAGGTGAAGAGGCTGTTAAAGACGAGGCGGCAGGACCTGGGTCTGTGGGCCGCCTATGCCCTGCTCGAGGCGGAGTGTGGGAACTTAGATGCTTCCAGGAAGGTTCTCGACACGGCACTGGCTTCTGTTGCTGCTCTTCCCATGGTATGCTCCCTGCTGTTTGTGAGACGCCGTGGATTGCTTCGCGTACCCGTTCTATCTTCTTGTTGACTTGTGAGTCGACTCAAAATGTTGCTGCTCTCCCAAAGGTATGCTCCCTGCTCTTGTGAGGCGCCTTGGAATGCTTCACGTCGGAACCCGTTCTATCTTCTCGCTCATCTTCTCGCTCATCTTCTTGCCCTCCTCTGCGCATGGGGCCTCTGCGCATGGGGCCTCTGCCTCTGCATCACACGCCCCATGCTCCCACCCTTTCAGTCAGCCACTGCACCCACGCCTCTCCTGTTGCTCACATATACCCCCTCCCTTGCTCACATCGACCTATCCCCTCCCTTGCACACATCGACCTATCCCCCTCTTGACTTCTTGCAATCCCTCTGTCCCCCTGGTCTTTCCTCTCCCCGTCTCCCCTGCTCCCGATCCAATCCCCTCTCCACCCCTCTCCACCCCTCTCAACCCCTCTCCACCTCTCTCCACCCCTGCTCCTTGCATGCTCCCCACTCCTCAAGTCGGCATCTGAAGCCGCGCCTCTCCGTGTGCTCACATATACACGCACATCGAGCTATCCCCCTCTCACTCCCTGCGATCCCCCCTGTCCCTTGTCATCCCCCCTTCCCCTCTGCCCCTCCATCTCCCCTCCTCCCCTGCTCCTGATCCACCTCTGCATGTTCCTCTTACTCCCTGCAGTCCGCAGCTGAAGCCTCACCTTTCCTAGTCCTTGCACACACCCACATCGAGCTATCCCATACTGACTTTTCTCAATCCCTCTCTCCCCCATCTTCTCTGCTTCCCATTCGCCCCTGCATATTCCCCATACTCCTTTCAGTCCGCAGCTGAAGCCACGCCTCTCCTTGTGCTCGCATACACGCACATCGAGCTATCGCCAACCAATCGCTCCGCCAACCAACACCAGCGTCCACGGCAGCAGCAAGGGCGGCAGCAGAGCAGCAAGGGGCGTCTGCACTGGTCTATCAACAATCACTGGTGTTCCCTCCACACTCTCGCCTCTTTCGCCGCATCTGCCCCTTTTTCTGCCCCCCCGCCACTCCCTCCGCAACTCGACCCATCTGTTTTGAAAGAGAGCGGGCAAATTACCAGCCCCTCCTCCTCTTGGGCAGCTTGTAAATATTTTCCTCAAGCTGCCCTGATACGCGCACGGGCAGGTTTCCACTTGAAGCTGCAAGAAGCAAAGAAAGTCATTGCGGCTTCAGCTGCTGCCACCGCCGCCGCCGCTGCTTCAGCAGCTCTCCCCAGTTCCTCCACCAACCCCCCTTCTGCCAACCATGGTGCTGCCTCTACCACACCTTGGAGCAACGGTGCCATTGGCAGCGCTAGCAGCAGTGGCAGCACATATGCCGGGGGGCCCACACAGGAGGAGAGCAACAGGGCAACGGCAGCGGTGGCTGTGGTGCTGTGTGCGAGTCTGTTTGAGCTCCTGGCCGCGCCATCCCTCCCTGAAGGGGTTGCAGGCGCTGCTGCAGTGATGGATGGGTGTACTGCTGCTGTGCTGCCGGGCTGCCGTGCCTGCTGTCTCCCACTAGAGATGCTGTTTGAGAGATATGCCTCGCTGCTGCTGCACGCCCTGCCAGGTACTTCTTCCCTGCCAGGTACTTCTTCCCTGCCAGGTACTTCTTCCCTGTCCCCCACCCAACCCTTCCACCCCCCCAACCTCACCCCTCTCCTGTTCTCTCCGCTACTGCTGCAGCTGCAACTGCTGCAATCGATTTTGTCATTATTATTTTCCTTCCCTTCACCAAGTTGGAGAAAAATGTTTCATTCAACTGCCCATCTTTCCCCTCCATCTCGCGCCTCTCCACCTGATCCCCCTTCCCCCTCCCCCCATATAGCCATCCAGGAATGGCAGGTGCGGAGAGGCGGGTGTGCTTTGCGCAGCCATCCTCCTTCCTTTCTCCCCCCCCTCCTTTCTTCACCCTCACTCTTCCCCCAAATTTCTTCCCCCCTCTCCCCTTCCAGCCATCCCGCCACAGCAGGTGCGGAGAGTGGTGCTGCAGGGTTTGAAGGAGTTCCCCAGCAACACGCACCTCCTGGGAACCTTCCTGCGGCTGGAGTCACGCAGTGCATTCACCAACAGCATCCGGCGCTTCTTTGACCAAACCACCGCCAGGTCAGCAATGCCACTTCAGCAGCCAGGTCAGCTGTGCCACGTCAGCAGCTAGGTCAGCATGCCTGTCTGGTCCGTGCAAGGAACATGAGTATGGTTCTACCTTCGATTGGCCTTCTCAATTCTTGTCCCTGCTCTGGACACCTGTTTTGGGTCACAGGCCATTTTCGACTCTCATCTCATCTCTAGCGACCTTGCAGCATTTGAACCTTGGGGTTCTAAAGCATGCCGACATCCCTCCTACCCTCTCCCTCCTCTCTTGGCTGTCCCACCCCTCACTGCTCCTCTGGTTCATCAGTCTCCTGGTTGAGTCGTTGTACCTCAAAACGTCCAACCCACCACCCACTCGCACCAACTACCCTCTCCCTCCCCTGCAGAATCTCCCACCCCTCACCACTTCTCTGGCTGCTCAGTGTCCTGGTTGAGTCGTTATGTACCTCAAAACATCTAACCCACCACATACTCTCACCAACTGTCGTCTCCCACCCCGCCAGGCTGTCCCACCCCTCACCACTCCTCTGGCTGCTCAGTCTCCTGGTTGAGGTGGCACGGCCAGGGGCCCGTCCACGTGTGCGCGGCTTACTGGAGCGGGCGCTCGCCAGCTCAGCGCAGGGGAGTGGGCAATGCGTGCTGATGTGGCGGCTGTACATTGGCTATGAGCTCCACATCAGCCAGAATGCTGATGCTGCTCGGAGAGTTTTCTTCAGAGCCATTCACACATGCCCCTGGTGAGACTAATGCAGTACTGTTCTTTTTCCGCGTTTGCTCATTATTCGATTTATTTTATCATGATATATAGCCTCGGTGCATGTAATTGATGTCAACGGGTGATTGCATTGTTCTTCCGCCGATTTGGTATTTTCTTCTCTTTCAGGTCCAAAGCGTTGTGGTTAGATGCTTTTACGCAGCTCCATGGGGTTATCAAAGGAGAGGAGCTGAACGAGCTTGCCAACATGATGAGGGACAAAGAGTTGCGGCTGCGCACTGATGTCTACGAGATCTTGCTTCAAGACGCTCAATAAAACTAGCACAAGAATGCAAATCTTAAATTAATGACGTTCAATTTTGGTTAACAGAAATTACATTCGTTTTGTTCGTGTAACGTTTTTCATTTACCAATTCGCTGTTGACCGACAGGTGGAGGATTCTGGGCTGCCAGCGGGGTGTTCAAGAATTCGCGTTGGCATACGGTATGGTAGGGGGCCAACATCATAGACATGCAAATTAGTATGGTAACCCTATGCGATTGTATGCAAAACCGTCGATGCCTCAGTTTTAGAGTTAATGACATATTGTCCTAGTAACGCGTGTTGTTTTAAATAATTGGTTTTCACCGCGCTTGGTATTTCGCTAAACTACGTCATACCCCGGATATAAGCGCCACCCTCGGATAAGCGCCTGGCGCTTTTAATTGGCGTGTGGCGCTTATATCCGCTGCTCGATTATAAGCGCACCCCCTGAAAAAACTTGTTTTATTATAAGCGCACGTAAACTTTAAATTTTGAAATGTGTTCAAAACGCTGTAACGATTTTTACTTTAGCAGGCGGATGTGTTGCAGATTCGGTTCCCTTCACATTCGGACCCTGCACTGGATGCGGGTCCAGTCAGCAGGAGCTGTCAGGAGCTGGATGTGAATAAGATTCACTCTCATCCCAGCGCGCGCGAGAATTTCACAGACGACCCCATGTAACTTCGACTCGATTGAAAATGCAAGCACAAGATCTACAAATTGGTGTTCAAAAATATAAAAAAATATATATGTCATTTTATAAACGCCGGCGCTTATAAATTTACTCGATTATAAGCCCACCCCCCTAAAAAAACATGTTTTATTATTGCCCCCCATGGGGATATATCCGGGGTATGACGGTATGATTTCTTCGGGCGATTGTTCTGCCAGATGTGCACGACTGTTCACTACAACTGACCAAAGAAAAAAAAATAAAACCCAATCGGAAAGGGATGCGACTCGGGGAGGCATCAACCCTAAAAACAATGCCATTTCCCGTGTATAGGGTTGATCCCTCTCGGAAATGCGTCCAGATCTCTAGGGGTTTTATTTTGTTTCTGCCCTGCCCTAACAATTCCCGGTGACGTCGTCTACAATATTTCGTTATAAAATTGACCATGTATAATTTCATTTTAACGGAATTTCTCCGTAAAATGTATCGTGCACCAGTCGGGGCGCGGTAGAAACCACTAAAATTCGAAATTAAAAACGCAATCGATTACTGCACATATTTCGGCCTTTATTGTGCTGCCTCTACTGTTACATGTCAAATTATACCGTCATGCCCCGGATATACCCCCATGTGGGGGTGTAATAAAACTCAGGAAAATGGTGGGGGGGCTTATAATGTGGCTTTTTTTATAACCCCTGTCAGAATCCCAGCCACTAACCACTGGGATAAAAGGGCTTGTTTGTGTAGCGGGTGAGTGCGCCCATAACCCCCCAGGCCGCCGTGCCTGTAACCCTTCCCTAGGATCAATCGGGGATCACCAGTGGACCTCTGACACCCCCCCGCACTGGGATGCCCGAGGTGCACACACCGGGATTCGAACCCGAGACCTTCGCTCTGATACCATGTCAGAATCCCAGCCACTAACCACTGGGATAAAAGGGCTTGTTTGTGTAGCGGGTGAGTGCGCCCATAACCCCCCAGGCCGCCGTGCCTGTAACCCTTCCCTAGGATCAATCGGGGATCACCAGTGGACCTCTGACAACCCCATGGGGGAAATAAATGACACTTGGAGAATTATGATTTTTAAACACAGAAATGTAGATCTCAGCCCTGCGGTTTCAATCGAAACTACCACAAAACAGTTTGCTTCGAAATTCACCGAGAATCTGCCACCCCGGCGAAAATCCCTACCATGACATGTTGAAATGTTGCTAACACGTGCGCGCCTGTGGCAATTTCGCCAGGTGGGCCAGGGAAGACTTCGCCAGGCACGTCAGCGACGATTGCTCCTGACGCGTTAGTGGCGAATTCACTAGAAAAACACAGATTTGAGTAAAATTTCATAGGGTGCGGTTATACGAAGATGATCCAAATTTAGGGTGGGGTTATAATCGGCACCCGGCTATAAGCCCACTGGTACGATTATAACCGCATGGGTGTAACATAGGCCTGGGGGTATATCCGGGGTATGACGGTATGCATGTTATATATGTGTAGGCTGTAGTGGGGTAGCCAACATGGGGTACAACCCCATTAGGGTTTCATATTTGTACCAAACCCTGATCTAGTCAATTCATTCCTGCTGCTAGATTCTAACATGGTATCAGAGCAGTAGGTCCGTAGGACCGTCTTTTTTTTTTTTCGGGCCCACCTACCGTTGCGGTTACCGCGCTACCCCACGTGTTGTCCTGCGCGCGCCTTCCCCTGCCTTGCCTTGTGACGTGCTGCGCTGCGCACTCCATCCTGCAGCTCTCGCGCTGCCTACTGTTACCCTAGCTACGCGCGCACCGCCCTGCAGACTCGTAAGGCCAGCGCGCCGCCCCTGCAGGCCCGTAAGGCCAGCGCGCTGCCCCTGCAGGCCCGTAAGGCCCGCGCGCCGCCCCTGCAGGCCCGTCAGGCCCGCGAGTCGCCCCTGCAGGCCCGTCAGGCCAGAGCGCCGCCCCGCCCTGCAGTCGATGCGGCCCCGCCAGGCCGTTGTCGCGGCCTCGCCCTGCCGCTGACGCGGCCCCGCCCTGCCGCTGTTGCGGCCCCGCCCTGCCGCCGACGCGGCCCCGCCAGGTCGCTGTCGCGGCCCCGACCTGCCGCTGATGCGGCCCCGCCCTGCCGCTGACGCGGCCCCGCCAGGTCGCTGTCTCGGCCCCGCCCTGCCGCTGATGCGGCCCCGACCTGCCGCTGACGCGGCCCCGCCCTGCCGCCGACGCGGCCCCGCCCTGCCGCTGAGCACCCTACTGTCACGCGTCTGCTAGCCACTGTTGTCACTGACCCGTCATTTGAGTCTGCTGCTGCGTCTGCCTTAGTCGCTGAGCTTGTTGACTTTGCTGCTGCCTGTCGTCTAGACTACGCCGCTACTCTTGTTGCTGAGTCTGAGTCTGTCTGTCCTCCGTCCGTCAGGGGTGAGTGTGCTCTTGGCACGGACGTCCTTGAGGACAGGCAGGAGGACCTTGAGTGTCTTGCAGCCGCTGCGCCTCATCTCGTGTCCATGCTGCTTGCCCCTGAGGGAGACCCGGATGCACCAGACATCCCGACTCCGCGTTCTTACGCTGAGGCGATCGCGGGTCCCTACTCCTCTCAGTGGCAGACAGCCATGGATGCAGAGATGGCATCCTGGAAGTCCACTGGCACTTACGTCGACGAGGTTCCCCCTCCTAGGGCGAACATCGTCGATGGCATGTGGATTTTCATGGTGAAGCGGCCGCCAGATTCTCCGCCTGTCTTCAAGGCTCGTTACGTTGCTCGAGGCTTCAGTCAGCGAGAGGGAGTCGACTTCTTCCAGACCTTCTCCCCCACCCCGAAGATGACCACTCTTCGGGTGCTGCTGCACGTTGCCACTCAGCGTGACTACGAGCTTCACTCTCTTGACTTCAGCACAGCCTTCTTACAGGGCAGCCTGCACGAGGAGATCTGGTACCTAGTGGAGCCTCCGGCGGCCAGTCTACGGTCTCCGCCAGGCGCCGCGTGAGTGGCACGACACACTGAGGACGACACTTGCGGCTCTTGGGTTTGCTCCGTCGACTGCTGACCCGTCGTTGTTTCTGCGCACCGACACTTCGCTGCAGCCGTTCTACATCCTCGTGTACGTCGACGACTTGGTCTTTGCCACTGCTGGCACTGAGGCTCTCGCCCTGGTGAAGTCGGAGCTACAGAAGAGACACACGTGCACAGACCTGGGTGAGCTGTGCAGCTACCTTGGCTTGCAGATCACTCGGGACAGAGCACGCCGCACCATCACACTGACTCAGTCACACATGGTGTAGCAGGTCCTTCAGCGCTTCGGCTTCACCTGGTCCTCGCCACAGGCCACTCCTCTGGCTACAGGTCACTCGCTCTCAGCTCCACCTTCGGACGAGTCCGTAGAGCCGAGTGGTCCTTACCCAGAGCTAGTGGGCTGCCTCATGTACCTGATGACCTGCACTCGTCCTGACCTTGCGTACCCTCTTGGTCTTCTGGCTCGCTACGTGGCTCCTGGTCGGCACCGAAAGGTGCACATGGATGCTTCTAAGAGGTACTACGCTACTTGTGCAGTACATCGGGCATGGGGCTCGTGCTTGGAGGACGCGACAGAGTTGTCCTCACTGGTCACTCAGACGCTTCTTGGGTTGACGACTTGGCTACGCAGCGGTCGTCACAGGGTTACACCTTCAGCCTTGGCTCTGGCTCTGTTTCTTGGTGGTCTACACGCTCTTCCTCCGTTCTCAGCTCCAGTTGTGAGGCTGAGATCTACGCCATAGCCATGGCTGCACAGGAGTTACGCTGGCTTACCTACCTGCTGACTGACTTGGGAGAGCGGCCTTGTTCTCCTCCAGTGCTGTACGTAGACAACAAGGCCGCCATTGCCTTGTGTCAGGAGCATAGACTGGAGCACAGAACGAAGCACATCGCTCTGCGTTACTTCCTTGCTCGAGAGTTGCAGCAGCGTGGTCAGCTTCGTCTTGCTCACGTGGCCACTCGGGCCAACACCGCTGATATATTCACCAAGGCACTTCCGCCTGGTGATCATCAGCGCTTTTGTACTTTGTTGGGCCTTGTGCCTACGTTTCCTCACTTGCTGTAGGCTCTGCCTGTACTGTGATCTACATATATATATATATACATACCCGCATGCTTGCTCCTGGTAGGTAGAGATCACTGTGCTGTTGTTGTTGCATATATACCTCTGCATGTGAACTGGCCTTTGTTAAACTGTATTATGCTTGTAGGCTGTAGTGGGGTAGCCAATATGGGGTACAACCCCAACTAGGGTTTGCTACTTGTACCCAAACTTCGGTTACTTCATTCATTCTTGCCTAGTTACTTTGAGATGGTATTCAGAGCAGGAGGTCCCTAGGACCTACCGACCGTT